GGGAGGGGGGGGGGGGGGGGGGGGGGGGGGGGGGGGGGGGGGGGGGGGGGGCGGGACGACCGCCCCCCGATGAAAAATTTCTGTATCCGCCCCTGGTCTCGATATTCTGGATGGTTCGTCTTTCGAATACAATCCGTACGGCTGGAATACGGGATGGAACGAAGCAGAAGGAAAGATGATTTTTTAGGTCAAGGAGACTGGGACCTCACCTCGGGGAAGATGTGCGCAGTGGCGAGCCGCGTTCGAGAGACGAAGGACGCCGAGGCCGGGCTGGCTGCGATGATAGCCATGGTCCCGATGGCCCCGATAGCCATGGTCCCGATGGCCCACGCAAACCTGAAATCTGGGTCGGCCGGCAATTTCATTTTGAAAGGGCGCCGAGACGACTGAAAAGGCTCTCTCGCCGAGGACGAACGGGAAAGATTCACCAAAAGAGGGATGCGTCCCTTTTTTTCCCCCCCTTTTTTTTTCTCCTGCTCTCCATCCTTAATATCATCCATAAAAGGATGATTATTATTTAGGTGAAATTTGAAGGGAGACTCGGATCCGGCAGAAAGGTTGAAATCGGAGAGAACCTCGCGAAGCAGAAATGGGGAATGCGACGAGATGAAAGGATCCGAGAGACACTCGACACTCGTTCTCGGTGCAGTCCGAGGCGAGTCCCCATCGAGTCCTCATCGAGTCCCCATCGAGTCCCCATCCCATCCGATCCCATCCATCCGTTCCGTTCCGTTCCTTTGGCAAAAAAATCCGCGTGGAAAACTGTGGAAGGCTGGTCTCGCCCTTCTTTCCTTCTTTCCTCTCCGTTCGTGCACGACGACGATCTCGTTCCCGGATTTAGCGGGATTTAACGAGTGCTCCAAGCGTCGAGGAAGCGAAACTCGATTTTCGTTCGGGTCGTCGCACGCGGTGAAGCGATGTCGTTCCCGCGGAGAAGCGAAAATAGGTCATTTCGTCGTTCCCAGGCGGATGTACGAACGATGTTTGCGGGGGTGCACCCCCAGCATTTCCTCTCTTCAAAACATCTCCGAGAACTCATTAATTTCTGGAGTCGACGGAGAGAGGGAAAGGAGATAAAGGAAAGGAAGGAAGAGGATCCGGTCGTATCTCGCATCTCTTTATCCTCGAGCGGATGTCTGCATGGCGAATGCGACGACGAGTCCCCTCTTCCCGATCCGAGTTCGTTTCCGAAAAAAGTCTCGCGGTTTCGTCTCTCTCGAACGGCGACGCGTTCCTCTGCGAATCGGACGAGGAAATTCCATTCCGCTCGTCGGTCTCGCCGGCTCGGAAAAAAAAGAAGAAATCGGTGGGAAGAGAAACGGGAGACGACACAGACCGGAGCGAAAGGAGAAACTCGGTGAGAACGGAAAGACGCAATATGGGGAAACCTCGTACTCTTTGCTCGGGGATTTGCGCGTATTGTCTCTTTCTGCACTCCTCCGCCCCCGTATTTTTGGATGGCGGATGGAGGATGGAGGATGCAGTGAACCGAACGAATTTCCTAAGATGTGAATCCGGGATGGGTCGCGTCTCGCAGGACGGAAAGAACCCCCTCTGGGAGTCGGTGGGTGGGCGTAGGAATCCTCCCTGCGAGTGGGTGTGGGTGTGGGTGGGAAGACGCTCTGCGAGCAGGTGTATGGGTCGGGAACTCGGCCTGAGAGCGGGTTCGTGTGCCTGGGAACCGGAAACCTGGACCCACATCGGATCCCCTTCCTCCTCTCGTTCGTTCGGTCGATTCGGATGCGACGAGGGCGTCCTCCCCCGCTTCCATTCCGCCTCCGCATCGAGGAACGGCGCGGAACGCCACGAATGCAATTTCCTACCGCGCGTCCCGTTTCGATCGGCTGGCGTCTTCCGTTCCCTCTTCGACTCGTCGTTTCCCTCCCCCGTCGCGACCTGCAACGTGGATCCCCCGTGACGTCCACGAGGATTCCACGCGTTCGTCCGCAGTGCAGACGTCCCGTGCGATGCGTCTGCCGCGAAACGCATAGAAACGAGTACTCGATCGGGGCTTCTCGAACGCATTCTTACAGGCAGTGTTGGACGGTAACGAAGTAAAAGTAACGCGTTACAGTAACTAATTACTTTTTTCAGTAACTTTTTTGGTAACGAGTTACTTTTCAGGGGAGGGTAACGGAACTGGTAACTAGTTCCTTTTTCATGGGAAAAGTATGTAGCGTTACTGTATTGCGTTCCTTTTCTTGATGAAAGCAACCAGCTGAAAACAAGCAGCACTTCATGACTACGTGCGTCCTAATTGATGCAA